ATCACTGACTGGAGACCTTTAGCTTATGTGATGGAAAAATCTAATTCTAGTCATCTTAATTATTATAGAAATTCCACTGATATAATTTATTCCTCATCAAAGGAAGTTTTGTGGAAAGAAAGTGGTTTTGCACCACCTGCTCCAGGTATTTATGGCTATCTATCACAGCCTGATTTATGGAAAATTGGAGCAGCTTTATATGGATTACATGCATGGAAAGGTGTTCATACACATAAATCTGGTCATCAGTTTCAACATACCTTTCATTTCAAACAGCAAGAAGCCCATTTTACTTATGCTTGTTGGAAATATTACCTGGAATAAAGTTACTGGAGAAATACATTGTCCAGGCAAATGTCAATTTTTCACATGCTTTAATGTATCTATGAGATTTAATTTTCCCAAAATAGAATTTATCTACTCTGAGCCAGAACTGGTGTGTGGCTTCCCGTGAAGATGGCAAGACCATGGGAGGAATCTCCAGCCATTTCCATCCTAGCGAGTCTAGCCCAGAAGCTGACAAAGAGAATGAAGAGATTCATCGGCCTTCTAATAATTTCAGTTCTTGGACTGATAGCTATCACTGCAGAAGCTGCTACTGCAGGAGTAGCTCTCACAGAGTCTGTGAAAACTGAAAAATTTGTATCTAAATGGCATTCCAATGCTGAGAGATTATGGGTATCTCAAAAGCAGATTGACACTGAAATACATAACAAATTAGCTGATTTAGAACAAACAGTAATTTTGTTAGGTGACCAATTGTATAGTTTAGAAAAACAAGTCAAATTGAAATGTGATTGGAATGTTTCTTCTTTTTGTGTAACCCCTGTTTTTTATAATGAAACATTATTTCCTTGGAATAAAGTCAAAAAACATTTACTAAATCATGAGAATTTAACTGCTGATATAATTGAGTTACAACATCAAGTATATAGTACTTTTGAGCAAAAATTAAAACAAATTAATGGAGATGAAATTTTAAAAGGCATATCTGAAGGAATGGCTCAGCTAAATCCAAAAGATAAAATTTATACTTTATTTGGAACTTCTGCCGGTTCTCTGTTCTTGTTTTGCCTAATTGGATTTGTGTTTTATTGGATCATAAAGGAACTTTTACAGGTAAAGAAAACAAGTGAGCAAAACACTGCTGTATTTTTGGCTATGACAGCTGTTCAAGCCAATAATTAAGAAGGGGGAAATGTAGGAGATAAGCTCCCTTTGCTCAAGACATGGCAGTTCGCCTCAATGTGTTCCTTCAGGAGATTGTTTCTGGGAAGCATTTCCTTGAGGTTTGAGCTTCTGTACCTGCCTATGGAAATGCAGGAATATGCAGAGTGACTTGCCCTAGGAGGTGTGGAGAAACAGCCGAGGTGTAAGCTGGGGGTGGACAGACCAGTCTTTGAGCATTGGGTTCTATTCTCTGCCTTCTCTCTTCATTAGCATTATAATGTTTAGCTCCACTTTGGGCCAGCAAAGACAGACAGCCAGGCTCCATAATGTTTTTACTCTAAACAAAATCAATTATATATGTGTTCCTCAGCCTTCACACTAAATTGTAATCTTAAATGGTAGCTTCCTAATGTTACTTGACTTCTTTGTATATATGTTAAATTCTTACTGAATGTTGGAAAGTATATAAGGTAATCAGTAAAGTTTAGCTGGGCCGCCGACCAGAGCGAGTCCCGGTCTCCCTTGAATATTCATTCCGTGTGCAGTTCTTTCCCCTGCATCCCTGATCAGAAGCTCCAAAGAACATAACACTGAGATAGACCTGCCATTTATTTGATCCTGCAATTCCTCTTTTAAGTGTGCATCCAAAAGAACAAAAATCACTTTGTAACAAAGGTCTTTGCACCAGATTGTTCATTACAGCTCCATTCATAATTGCCAAGTCATGGAAGAAGCCCAAGTGCCCACTGACCCATGAATAGATTAATAAATTGTGGCATATGTGTACAATGGAATACTACGCAGCCTAAAAAAACATGGAGGCTTTAACTCTTTTACGTTTACATGGATGAAGGTGGAACATATTCTGCTTAATAAAGTGTGTCCAGAATGGAAGAAAAAGTATCCAATGTACTCAGTTTGTAATTACTCACACCGAAAACAATTTGTAATTACTCACATCTTCTTATGAAAGACGGATCACAACTATAGCAAAGGAGGAAGGAGAGAGGTGGAGGTGGATGGAAGGAGTGAGGGAGGTTTGATGGAGAGAGGGAAAATGGTGGGACCACAGCTATGGAGCATATTGCAAGAGCACAAGTCAAATCTGCCAAGTATAGAACATAAATATCTTAACACAATAATTATGCAAATGAGGTGAAAGCAATATTAATCAGTTTGATGTAACCATTCCAAATTGTATAAAAAATCAACACATTGCACCCCACAAATGTAGAAATGTATTCATGATGTATGTGTATATGACTTAATAGAAGGGAAAAAAGAATAAATTCAAATTTAAAAATAAAATGTAAAAATAAATTACCATGATTTTTACTTTGAACTTTCATGTATAAGACTGTAATTTTGAAAATGGCAGAAAAGAACAGTCTTAGATAGGGTACTGATTCTGTTCTCTAGAATTGCCAACCTTCTGACAAAGAAGTTGGTGGACCTATCCAGTTTCTGCCTATTGCCTGACAGTAACATACAGCTAGACCCTCTTCATCCTGTAACACAGGCATATTAGACAGAGCCTAAATCTTTTAGCCAATTGTCAGCTAAAGAATCTTTAAACCCACATACAACCTGTTGGCCCCTGCTTTAAGATGTCCCATCTTTTTTGGCCAAACCAACATTTGTCTTGCATGTATTGATTTATTGATTTACCTTTAATTCATGTCTCCTTGAAATGTATAAAATCAAACATTAAGCCATGCCTGTAATCCTACCACTGTAGGAGGCTGAGGTGGGTGGAAAACTTGAACTCAGAAGTTGAAGACAAGCCTGAGCAAGAGTGAGAACTCATTTGTACTAAATACAAAAATTAGCTGGGCATTAGCTGAGCAAGAGTGAGAACTAATTTTTCTAAATAGAAAAATTGCTGGCATATATTTGAAAACTAAGCAAGAAAATTTTGTTAGAGAAACTGTCATTTGGATATGACCTCAAGCTGCAGATACATAAGAAAGTATAAAATCGTATGGTTTTTAAAGTTGGATTTACTTTTCTTGAGTAGTTTCATTACAAGCTGTTTGATTCCTAACACCTGGTCAAATGTAAAGCCATAGAATAGATTTTTCTTTTAAACCAAGGCATGACTCAAGACATCTTCACTAAAAATCAAATTCCTGCAACTGGATGTCTAATAAAAAGTATAAAAACAGAATTATCAAGAAGCTAGTTAATGGCTAGTAAAGTAGTCATGAAAAACAACTCAAGGGCAATCGGTTTATGTAACATAATATTATGGAAATACTGCGAGGCTGTGAGCCAAATACCCTGGATTCCACAGCTGTATGATAGAACTTGTTGTGTGTCTGGCCTTATAATGATCTAAGTTTCTATGTGTACAAGAAACTGAGACAACTAGAGAGTTTAAATGAGATGGTTTCTAAGGTTCTCCTACAATTTAAACCACTACAATTTTAAGTCTTCTGAGAACAATCTGTATCAGATAGCCCCACCAGGAATGCTGATATCTGACGAAATGTGAGTTTCTAGGAACACAGGTACACATATATGACAAAATAGATGAGATAAAAAAGATAGGTTCTGATGATACTTGCAGCCACCATTTTCAAAAGGCCAAAATTTCCAGGATTCTTGGAAGTGGGAAAACCATTGCTCATAAACTGGTCTTTCAACTGTTATCAATAGCTTGTTAAATTTAAAGGCAACAAGTCACATAAATCTTGCTATGGCTATTTTACATGCTGCTACTGAATTGTGCACCCACAAATTTGTATATTCAAATCTGTACCTCAGAAGGGGACTTTTATTTGGAGCCAACATCTTCAGCAGGTTAAAATGAGTTTATTAGGATGGGCCCCAATCTACTATGCAGATTGTCCTAATAAACAGAGAAAAATTGGAGATAGATTTGTATACAGGAAGAACACAGCCATTTACAATCCCAGAAGAGGCCTGGAACAGATCCTTCCCTCAGAACCCTTAAAAGGAACCAACTCCCCTAATTTCCAACTTCTGGCCTCCAGAACTGAGACAATAAATTTCTTTTAGAAAGGTGACCAAATGTGTAGTATTTTGTTGTGGCACTCATTATCATAAGTAGTTTGTGTATTTACATCCCAGTATTCCCTCATCTCCCAGATCTTCGTAACCTCATATTAATGCATTAGTGCGTTTTCTCAGTCAATAAAGAATATGAAATTGAAAGTTGAGGCATGACATGGTTCTATAACTGAAAATGAAATGTGGAAGCTATGAAATAGTTACTTTTATTATCATAATCCTTTACTAGTTCCCCTCCTTTCCCAACTTGAATTAATCAACACATAGAAAGGGGCTTAGAATTTTTTTTTTTAATTTTAAAAACAGACTAATTAAACCAAATCTTTTCCTCCTATGAAACTTGCCTCTTGGTGTTATGAAAATAATTACACAGCACTTGTGTTTCTTTTTATCTTGTGGACAAAGACAGACAACTCCAAAAAATGCTCTTTTGCAACCCAGAAGTCACTGTTTAGTATGAGTTCTGAGACATATAAGGATTATATAAAAAAAAAAAAAAATCAGAGTCCACTGATTACCAGAGAATAACTACTGATGGAAACACAAAAGGAAGGTTTGGTTTCTTACTAATGGGATTATCAGTGGATTTAATTGTATATTATATTGCATTTTAGTTCTGGTAGTACAATAATTTAATGACTTTATACATTAAAATCTAAGCTTGTCCTCCTCCTCCTCCTCAAAAAAAAAAAAGTAGCACCTATGGTTAAGGATGGAGAACTGTAGCTCTTTCTTCAGTACCTGTTTGTCAATTCATGAAATTAGAGCACATATAAGAAACAGGATGACAGTCATCAAGAATGATTAAAACCATGAACTATCGTGGAATTGAAAATACCACATTTAAGATACAATTATATACTGAAAAATGGAGCAATGTCAAGAAAACTGGACAATGTTAAAGGCAAATTTTTAAAGTTTGTTTAAAATCATTCATTTTAACATAGCCAAAAAAAGCTGAATTTATTATTTTACATTAACATTCTGTAAATTTAAATAAAGAGAATAATCATGTGGTCTCATGGACTGGAAGGTGACTTATTAACTCCCTTTCATTCCCAAACCTCATCAAGCAGTCACTACATTTATGAGGTAAGTCAGCTGAATGCTTGAAATCTAGATGAATTTTAAGACCTTCAATTTGTCCTGTTGAATATTCACAATATTGACATAAATAAATCCCTTCAGATAAATGTGAATTTAGATGCTTGCAATATTCTAGCATACTTGAAAAGCCTTTACCACAGCCATCACAAACATGAGGAAAAATTTTAGTATGTTCAATAGCCACATGCCTATTAACATTGGTATGAAGTCTACTCCGAAAACCACATACTTGACATACAAAGAAGTTTTTACATTTGTCAAAGGTAATTTTGCTAAAGAGGCTAAACTGTCCATGTTCTCCACTGTTATACTTGTCACTTAATTCTATTAATTTACATGCATGCTCATTTACCACATGGCTATGCAAATCTTCTGGGTCATTAGTTTCATATTCACAAAACTGACACAAATACTGCTCATCACAGCTGTGCTCCTGGAAATGTAGGTAGAGTTCACTACTTGAAGAGAAGTGAACATCACACTGTTCACACCAGTAGAGGTGATCACTAAAATGAGTGTCTGCCATGTGCTGGCTTAGGTTCTCAAAAATTACTGTCTTATAGTCACAGTATTTACAAATGTAGGGATCCTCTTCATGTAGTTTGGCATGTTCTATCAGAAGCATGTTGGTAGAGAAACTTTCCTTGCATACTCGACACACATTTGAATCAGTACATTTATGCTTCAGAATCATATGCTGCTTTAAATCGGAAAAATATTTGCTGTTGAACTCGCAAAATTCACATTTATAGAGTCCACTATTATTAGCTCTCAGTAAAGGCCATTTCTCCTGAGCAGTCACATTCAAAGCCTGGCGATTGTCAATAATTTTACAAAGTTTAGCTGGTGGCTCTTCATCAGTTTGATCCTGGAGACTCTCAGAGGAATTTTTTTCTGTCTCTATATCATAGTCCTCAGAAATTGCATGTACTTCTACAGCAACTGGAACATCTTCAGCTGTGTGAACTTCTATAGGACTCTCCTCTTGGGTTTGTTGATTGATTGATTTAGGTGAGTCACACTCTTCATCAAAAATTTCAACATTGGCAGATTTTTCTGTAGGGAAGGCAGTCTGGTCTAGAATTCTAAGCACTGGACTAGGAACCAAGTAGTTCTGATTTCTGTTTGTGGCCTTGGTTCCATCTGTAAATTTAGGCAAGTCATTTGACATCTCAGTATCAGAATCATCATCTTCGTTGTCAAAATATTTTAAGTCTGACTTTCTCATAGAACAGACACTATAACAATGATCAGAAAAAATTCCATTGAATCCATCTGCAATTCTGCTTATTCCAGAGGAGTCTGAATAACGAGAAGGGTGTAAAGTCTTCCTTTTTCTTTTTTTAGGATATGCATTCATATCTTCTCAATGTGGTATAATTCTCACTTCTGGAGTGAAGGAAAAAAAATACAGGGAAGTTTCCACAGATGGCTAAAATAATCCCAGGCCCCCGGGCACCGCCAGCCTGTCCTGGTGCAGCTCCAAGGTGGCGTGGCAAGGGCAGAGAGGCCGCGTGGTCTGGCAGCGTCAAATGGCGCTGCTCAGGCCCTCACACCCCAGGATGCTAACTAGGCTGGCCCCTCTGGCTCCCGAGTGCCCCACACCCTGCGCACCAGTCCTGAGGCCTAGGCTCCAAGGCCACACTCTGTCTCTTTCTATCTATTTACTTATTCATTCATTCATTGAGACAGATTCCCACTATGACCTCTGTAGAGTGGAGTGGTATAACAGCTCACAGCAACCTGAAACTCTTGGGCTAAAGAAATGCTCTTGCCTCAGTCTCCCATGTAGCTGGGACTATTGGTACCCACCACAACACCCAGCTATTGGCTTCTTCTTCTT